TCTGCAAAGAATAGATAAGGGTTGGAGGTGGCCCTGGGTGTCTGTTGGGGCAAGTCCAATTGTGCAGCTGGACAGAGGATGCTGGGGGGCAGTGACCGAGCGGCTGCGCTGTCTGCGAAGGCGGGGAGTGTGGGTACTCAGGAGCATATAGACCTGACTTTAATGCACTAGGTATGCCACCTGAGCCTTCGTTTTCTAATTCGTAAAATGGGGTTGAGAAACTTACCTCATAGGCCTGTTGTGAGGATTAAATGAGCTGATGTATGTAAAGCATTCAGCACAGTGCCTGGCGCACAGTAGGGACTCATGTGAGCTGCGGCTGCGGTGGCTACTCTGCCACCAGGTAACCTGCTTATCCGTCTCATCCGGCCCCGGCAGACTCACAGAGAACAGGCCCTTCAATTCATTTCCCCTGTTCCCATCAGCCTCAGTGCTGCTACCAGACTAGTTTTCCAGGAGTTCAGCCTTTATCATGAATTCAGGCTCTCCTTTTCTTGTTAAATGATTTTAAGAAAGTCACTTTTCCTCTGTGGCAATCAGTTTCCTTACCTGCAACCAGGAGGCCAAACTAGGACAGTCACTTCCTACTCAAAAGTTTCTTGGCTTTCTGCTACTCACGGAGTTCATGCAAGGTGAGGGGTCTGCACCCTAAGGCCCACCATGGTCTAGAGGCCGGATCCTGCCACCTTCTTCCCCACACACTCCCCAGCCTCCAGCCACTGCCCGGCAGCCTGGCTGCCCTGCCTCTGCACCTTTGTTGTTGCTGTTTCTTCCACCTAGGCCATCCCCCTTTCCTGTCATTGCCTGTCACAGACCTGACCCTCAGTGAAGAATATCCTTGCTGGATTGAAAATTCCTTGAAAGCAGGGATAATGTCGTCTTCGTAGTCACAGCTCACATCTCCTTATAGCTCCCATTAAGCATAATGCCTTGTATATAGAAGGTGCTCAATTAATGGCTGTTGATTGAAGGAAGGAAGGGAGGAAAAATCTCCGATTCTTGGCGTGGTGGCTCACACGCCTGTAATCCTAGCACTCTGGGAGGCCGAGGCGGGCAGATCGTTTGAGCTCAGGAGTTCGATACCAGCCTGAGCAAGAGCAAGACCCCGTCTCTACTAAAAATACAAAGAAATTAGCTGGACAACTAAAAATATATATAGAAAAAATTAGCTGGGCGCGATGACACATGCCTATAGTCCCAGCTACTTGGGAGGCTGGGGCAGAAGGATCGCTTGAGCCTGGGAGTTTGAGGTTGCTGTGAGCTAGGATGACGCCACAGCACTCTAGCCCAGGAAACAGAGTGAGACTCTGTGTCAAAAGAAAAGAAAAACCTCCCATTCTCTTAGCGACCATGTTGGGCCCAGCTTATACCTTCAGGCCATCTGTCTCCTAGGGAGCAGAGGAGATGGAAGAAGGTAAACTGTTTGTCACCCTTCCATCCTTTCTCTCCATAAAAGCCACTGTTGCATTTCAGGATAGCCCGTGCCAGTGGGGTGTCCTCACACCCAGACAGTTGCAGGAGACCCATGGAGTCTCCAGGGAACATCATCAGGAACCCAGTATGTTAAAATGGCTGGAAAATGGAATGGGAGCCATGGGCATCCTGAGATGTGGGCTGGGAGGTAGGAGCCAGTGGTGACTCGGGAGCACTCTAGTACACAAGGCTTGTGGGGGAGGCTGAGAGAAGAATCAGCAGGGCCCACACTTGGGGAGCAGGGTGGCAGGGATTGCCCCTGTGCCCATTCTAGCTTGGTGCTCAGGGCCTCTCCCAGATGGGCATCCAGGTCTTTAGGGCCAGCACTTACCTGCAGTGATGGGTGTCAGATGTGATGAGTATCAGTGTTTCACTTAAATTTTCCTCCTCTTGACTGGCAAGGAGTTTCTCTGTCTTTCCTCCAGCTGCAGTAGAATTGCCTGTGCAGCTGGAGGGGTTGGGCCAGGGGGACCTATTTCCAATTTTAAGGGACCACTCAAGGATGTGGCCACACTCTGCTTGCTTCTTCCTGCCCAGGCACTGGGGGCTCCCAGGAAAAGGCCGCACAGCCAGGGCCACGGGAACAAGTCTCCGTCAGGCTGCCCCTCCCCAGCCTGTGTCTTATTCATCAGGCTCACGTGGGCGGCCCCATCTGTCTTTATCTTTGCCTGGGTCGAGAGAATTGCTGGAGTCAGGCTTGGGGGAGGCTGGGGTGTGGAGGCCCGGCCAGCCCTCAGTGGCTCCTGGAGGCCTGGGCTTTGTCCGCAGGAGTTGGAAGGGAATGGACTTTTTGTCTGGGCCTCTATAGTGATAGACTGGCCCTTGCTCCTGTCTTGGCCCAGGGCTCTGAGCAGCAGCCGTGTTCCCACACAAGTTGTGCCATAGCCAAGGCTCTGCACCCCCTACCCCCCACAGTGAGAGGCTGAGAAGCATTCTTAACATTCTTTCCAGAGAAAGGGGGTGAAATGTCTGAATTTAGGGGTCACCATGTTATACAAATTGCAATCTAATCATTTTTACAAGAACACACTTGCAACAAGAAAAGAAGCCCAGGAGGAGGGGATGAGGAGACAGACAGCTTGTTTTGTGCCCCTTTCCCCCAAGTTTGAGGCTATTGTCGGGCCAATCTCTCCCTCCACCAGAGTAGTTGAGCTAGAGTTTTCTAGTTAAATAGATCTTAGGGTGGGGGCCTTGAAGGGCCTATGGTGCCATTTCTGTTTGTTTTCCCAAATCAAAGCCCCAGCAGGGCTTCTATGGCACTGCTGGGCCGCTATTTGAAGAGACGGGCCATTTCCCAGAGCCTGGTGTGTCAGTTTATGCTCTGAACTTAACCTCACGGGCACTGCACAACAGAGCCTTGAGGGTCCTGGGCCCAGAGGTAAAAGAAATTGTATCTTTTTATTGGCCCATTTAAATTGTGTGTGGCCATTTCAGAGAACCAGAGAATAGCGCAGGAAAAAGAAACTCCTCAGCCCCTGGCTAGGCTAGGCTGGCAGAGGAGGGGCTCTCAGGACCTGTGCTAGCCCCCAGCGGCCACCGCTGTCTTGGGCCCTTGGAGAGGACAGGGGCCCCGTGGGCTGTTCTGTATCTCTTATTACAGACACTTAAGGCCAAGCCATTTTCCAGTGGTGGCTTGGATGCCAAGTTGGCAGCCCAGTCTGAGTGTGCCTCTTACACTGCTGTCCCTGCCCAGCTCCATGGGTGCCAGCTCTCCTTCCCTCTGCACCCTAGGACCAGGGGTGGGCAGGTAGAGCCATGCTGTGCTTCACTCCTCCCAACCCCCACTGCCTTTCATCTTCTATTTCAAACAGACAAACATGAAATTACTTCTGTAGATTAAAGGGGAGAGCTCCTCAATCATTCCTTAAGGCCTCATTAATGGAGGGGGCAGGGCCTCCAAATCTGGAAGGAAAGGAAGAGCTGTGGAGCAAAACAGCCCCTACACGGTATACCTTGAGAGACAGAGACAGAGACAGACACTCTCATACAGTGGCTGAGTCATGGGTGGTGGCCCATCTGGGAAGCAGGGCTCCTTTGGGAGCCAAGGTCAGTAGTTTATATGGGACATTGATCTGGGGAGATGGCCTTCTGCCTGATGCTCCTCACCAGACAAGAGGCTTGTCATCTTCTCCCCCCAGGCCCAGCACTGGGCTACTGAGAGGAAGATAAGAACCTCCCTGGGAAGGAGGCTGGGGACAGGGGTGCTGACTTGGGGCCTACCCCCACTGTACAGCAGCAGTGCTCTTCCTGGGGCTTACTGTTCAGGGTGGTAAGAAACCCCTACCCTCCTCCTTTGATTCCTTTAGCCTTCAGGGAAGATGGCAGCTCCACTGGGAAGAAGGAAGGTTGAGGGTCATAATCTGAGCAAGGTGAAAAGACTGGAGCCGAAGTCTGCACTCAGACACGTAGCTGGCAGCCTTGCCTGCCTCACATCCTTTGCTGAAATGCTGCTTGAGCCAAAGCTGGGCTGGTGAGGCTATGAAGTCCTCTCCACCCCATGCCAGGGCCTCTTACCTGGATGTCCCTGTGAAGTGTCCATGGCGTTGTTTCTCCTCACACCATGGAGAAGAGCCCAGCATCTCATGGGTGAAAGAAGCTGAGGCATTGGGCCTGGATGGTACCCCTTCTCCTTCATTCCCCTCAATCATTCTGCAAAAACTCAATACTTCCACCCGTCCCCTAGCCACAGGGATTAGCGGGTGCACTTGATGTTGAGGGGTAGTTGCTAGGGCCAGGAGGCCCCCCTACATGGTTGCTAGGGGTCTGGCATCAGGGCAAGGGGTCTGCCCACTGCCGCGGTCACGGAGGGAATTACACAGTCACAAAGAAATTGTTCTTCTCAGTAATCTGCTCTCGGCCACCGGGTGGGGTGAGGGTGGGGGGAGCAGGTTGGAACCCAGCAGGCTGGGGGCTGTGATCACAGAGGCGTGCTAGCCCCAGGCTGGGGGCCAGCCAGGCCAGGAACACCAGGGACAGCCCGCTAAGCTGCTTTCTCAGCGATTTCTCTCCCCAGACACAAAGGTGTTTACTTGTTTTAACATCTCCTGAGACTCCCCTTCTCCCTTTGTGTGGTCTTTATCCCCAATGAGGTTTGAGCCCCAGATTACAGGCAGGAATTAAGGCATTGGACTCAGGCAGCTCAGAACTGCATGACCTGCAGGATCAAGGAGTATAAAGTAACCAAGTGTGTGTGTGTGTGAGGGGGGCTGACCCCTTCAGCAAGGCCCATTCATCGTCCTGAGGAGGAGTGGCTGGGCTAGGGGCAGCTGCACGCAGGTGTGATGGAAGGGCTGCTGGGGGCTGGGATGCTGGGGGAGGGGTGGGGGCTGGAACTGGCTAGAGAGGCCTCGTGGTGGGGGTGAGGGGGCTAGGCGTCGGGCATCTCCTCCCTTGGCCTCCTTCCGCAGGGAGTCTAATTCTAGCTGAGGAGGACGGAGAGCTGCATTTCCCCAAGATCTAATACCATCTGAAAGTTGAAAGAGTGGGACAAGGTGGGGCAGCCTTTCACCCTCTGCTCTTCCCCCCAGTGGGCAGCTGGTGACACACCTGGGCAGTGACTTTCCCCCAGGGGCGGGGGTGCTAGACGTCATGTATGAGTCCCCTTTCACACTGCTGTCCTGTGGCTATGACACCTACGTGCGCTACTGGGACCTCCGCACCAGTGTCCGGTGAGTGTGCTGGGCAGGGAGGACAGGTGGTGGGAGTTCCCCTGCAACCCCGGTTCTCCCTCTAGGCTCGGGTTGGCCCATGGAAGAGGACACAGAGACTACATGTGACCTGGGAAGGAAGGGGCCTCCAAGGTCATATCAAGCTTAGACTCCCTACCCTGGGGCAGCCCTGGTCCTGGTGGCCTAGGAAACTGTAGCCAGCAGGCCCTATAAGGGCAGGTACTTCTCAGAGCCTCTGGAGTTGTCAGGGTACTGTCCCTCAGCATTCTGTCTTAGCCTTTCTTGAGGCCTTTATTACTTCTCCCCCTCATGACAAGTAGCCGGCCATGTGGAAACACAAATGCAGGCATAATCTGCTGTGTGGTCTGGGGCTTGGTGAGCGAGTCCTTTACAGAGGATGCCTTTCCCATTAAGTTCGGTTTATAAAGAATCTGATGATTCAGGCTTCTCTCTCCCCAAGCCTAGAATAGCTCCCTAACCTTCCCCGCAGTTCCTCAAGGAAGCTGAGGTGGAGGTGGAGGCCACCCTGAACCTCCCTCTGCATCTCCCCTTCCTGGACAGGAAATGTGTCATGGAGTGGGAGGAGCCCCACGACAGCACCCTGTACTGCCTGCAGACAGATGGCAACCACCTGCTGGCCACAGGTTCCTCCTACTACGGCGTGGTGCGGCTATGGGACCGGCGACAAAGGGCCTGCCTGCACGTGAGTGTCTTGCCCACCTCACACCTCCAGGATGCCAGGACTTGTCGATATGGGTTGCTTCTGGGAGAGGGTGATATGGCCAAGGATAGGGTGGGAGGAAGCCTACAGTGGCACATGTCCCTGTTTCACTGGGCCTGGGGATCTTGGGTTAAGGTACCTCCATTTCCCACTGGGAAAGCTCTTACCACTTCTGTGCCCTCCCTTCCAGGCCTTCCCGCTGACGTCGACCCCCCTGAGCAGCCCTGTGTACTGCCTGCGTCTCACCACTAAGCATCTCTATGCTGCGCTGTCTTACAACCTCCATGTCCTGGATTTTCAGAACCCGTGACTGGCAGGGCCACCCCTGCCTGTGGGCCAGAGAAGCCAGCTACTCAGGGACCACTCTTGCCTGGAGGGTGTGGTGATAGCTCGTCCCCACTGCCCCCACTGTGTTCCTAGACCTGTGTGACCCCAGTGCGTGGGTACCTTAAACTAGAGGCTTCTGACTCCTGGGGCTCTGGGGCTTACCCAGAGATGCAGTCCCTTCCAGGAACCTGTTGGAGAGAGAAGACCTGCTGCTTTGGCAAAGTGCAGCTGAAACTGGGCCTTGTGTCCCTGTTTGACCAGAGCAAAGATCTGGCCCGAAGAGGCCCACCCTGCACCCCACCCCTTCTTAGAGCCATAACAGCCTACAGAGTGAGGTGAGGTGCACCCACCTTCATGGTCCCTTTATGCCCCTTCTTGGAAGAAGAGGTGAGGCTGCTAATACCCCCTATTGGCATTAGCCACCTCAGTCTCAGTCAGACCCCACCCTTGACCAACCTCTTAGGGCTGGGGGTTCATTCCTGGGCCACTTAGTTTTGCTTTGAAACCAAGAAAGGACAAAGGGAATGCAGTAGTTCTGAGTGAGTTCTGAGCCAGCCCTTCCTCAGGCCGGCTGTTGAGACATGCTACAATTTTCATTTTTGTAAAAATAAAGCTTGACTGTTCATAAAATCTGGTTCCTCACTGGCTGGGTAGTTCTAGGAGGCCCCGGGAAAAGAGAACAGGGGTTGTGCACGTTGGGGAAAGGCTAAGATCAGCCTCATGGCTCTGTTTCCCAAAGAACAAGGGTTTTTTTTTTTTTCCAATTAGCCACCTACCCCTTTAGCTGTGTGTATGGGATGGTCACCTGTAAGGTATGGAGGGGGACTGTGGAAGGGCTCCAGCCTGCTGAGGAGCTAAGCTGCTGTCATCTGTGGTGATTCTTCTTCATCCCCCCCCCCCCTTAGTGACACTCTGACCCTTATTCTGGCTTTCCACCTACAGTGTCCAAACATCCTGTGCTCTGTTTCCAAGGTTTCTGCATTTTTAAAACTCCCTTGCCACACCTATCTTAGGGAGTTTCCTCTGAGCCACTTCTGTAAGCTAAGGTAGCACAGGGTCCCTTGCAGCCTAGTCTTCCTTTGAGTTTGTGCAGACAGGCTGGAGGAAAGATGCCCAGCCCTGCCCTGCTGCGGTCATATGCTACCACCCTCTTCTCCTACCTTTATTTGGAAGGCTTTACGTTCAAGGTCCCCAGGATGGAGAAGAAGGGAATGTTGTCACCATCACTCTTCCTGGGGGGGCCTGGGGGCAGGCAGAATACAGAGTTGGACAAGAGGATAATTCCTGTACAGTGACGCAGAATGACTTTCTTTACTCAGGAAATAAGATCATGACTTGGGCTGGGAGTGCCCCACAGGCCAGTTCTCATAGACTCTGGATAGCTCCTGGAAGAGTGGAGGCTGTCATGGGCTGGAAAGGCCCAAGCCTCAAGTCTCACAACACCCTCCATGCTGGAGGTACTAGACTCGGTGGCCAACTACTGGGTCTTGCAGTCCCCATCGCTGCTGTGGGCCGTCTTCACCTTCTTTAGCTCCTTCTGTAGCTCTGATTCGGCCTCTACCACCTCCTTTGGCTTCTGGTACTGTGGATGGAGCCAGGAAGAAGACATACTTGGTCACTATCCCTCCTGCCGCCACACACACTTGGGGCCTCTTCTGTGCACATGAGAAAATTGATGACTACAGGCTTCAGTGATTTGCTCAAGGTCATATGGTTGGGTAGGAACAGACCTTGGACAAGAACTCAAGTCCTACAATTTCCACCACTTCCCCATCATCCTTTACCCTCTTCCAGCTGTGAATTATATGACCAGACTCCTCCCTGAATGCCCCCCCCATCCCCGCCATTGCTGAATTAGAGATGCCTGTTTTCTAGCAAGCACATCCTAGGGGTTGGGGCGAGAACTGGGGACTCCTATGGGATTGGAAGTGGGCAGGCAAAGAGGAAGCCTCTCCCTGATGCAGTATCTAAGAAGTCTGCATGAATCTTACAGAGATTATCAAGGTGCAGTTGGCATGAGCAAAACTCAGCGAGGAATCATCCAGGGGTAGCTGGTATCTGTCTAGGTCAGGAATGGAGAACTTCTTGTAGTACCTGTAGGGATATCAAGAGGCCATTGGGAAACCCAGCAAGGTGATGCCAATAGTTGGGCATCAGGCCCTCTGCCACCAAACTTCTACACAGTTCTCCCACACCTTCCACACAGCTAGAGAGGAAGAAGGGAAACTGGAACACCAGTATTATAGAGCTCAGTGGCCCTGGAAAGAAAAGGATGACAGCATTATGTCTAGATATAATATAATGTAACATATCCAATGGTAGAAGAGCAGAAGCAGCTATAATTCCATGATTAGACCAGAAGTTAAAGGAACTCACACTTCAGATGAGGTCTCCCAAAGACAGGTAGAAGCCTCCTGGAATAAACATATAGCTCAGGCAGCTTGGGCCTCCTCTGCACCGAAAGCCTCATGAGGACACCAGAAGATGGACATATGCTTTAACAAAGGACAGAGTAAGATATCTAGGGCTATCCCTGAAAGCTGAGGCCCTACAGCTGCCATTTATTAATACATGGGACTTCCACTGAAGACCTTAGCTACCTTTTCCTCTTTTGAGGTCGTTTAAGACTTTGTTAGCCTGACAACTTGCACATCAAAGAGAAAAGTACATCTCCAAGGAGAAATCTCCCTGAGAGGACAAACCATGTTACTCATCACAGAAGCCGGATCTCTGGACTACTTTGCTGGCCCCAAGACCCTACTCCTCCATTTTCACACACCACACATGGTCCCTATCATGTAGGTACCAGCCCAGAGATTAATGATCCCTTTTAGTAAACAAAATAAAAACCCCAAAAACCAGATAGCAACACCCAGCCCATAATGTATATAACTGGACTTTGTTTTGCAGGAAACTTGAGTCCCTTTACCAAAGAGGAAACTCTGGCTCAGAGAGATGAAATGTCTTGCCTGGTTCCGTAGCCAGTTGTCAGTGGAGTAGGGAGTTAGGATTTAGGTTCCTTGTCCCTGCTCAGATGCTTATTACATCAGAGCACAAAGAATGGCCTCCTCTCTCTAACAACAGACCCGTTTGGCATTTTCCTTGCAAGTGTGGCCTAGGCCTGGCCAACAACAGCAGCCAGACCACTTACCTGGGGAAGGCATCACAGTCTGCTGCAGAGGTTGTGTGGGCTATGAAGGGAAATGCCTCAGGCAGGTACAAACAAACTCAAGTGAGGGGCCTAGAGAGGACGGAGCTTTTAATACTTCAGAGAGGGGCCTGGTTCTTTCGGTGACAGCTACCCCAAGTCCACTTCAAAAGCCCCGATGCCCTGGGGACTCAGAGAGTTGACATCAATGTAGCACTTCTGCCCCCTTCTTCCCTGCCCAAATCCCTCTGTTCAGCAGAGGCTCTCAGGGCCCCTCTCCTCCCAGGTTCTCCACTCCCCACTAAGGTGCTGGGACCCATGGCAGGAAAAGAATGTTTACTTAAAGGCTGACAGTTCAAAAGGAGTGGGGGCTGGGGGATCCTAATGGCACTGCAAGTTGCTTTATTTTCCAAAGCTCTGCCCCAGGGAAACGCGATCCATCTGCCTGCAGACCCAGGATGGAATGCCTGCCTCATCCTCTTGCTAGCCAGCCCAGGCTAAGGGCTCTTCCTGGGGCCTTTGGTCTGGCCAGCAAAGGTGGCAGACACTGATAATAGAGGAGAGTCAAAGGTTAAACAGCAGAGATTAGATGAACACAAAGGCTTGTTAGGAAGTGTTAACATCTTCCCTGCAAATATACACAAAAAGCAGAATCATTCCCCAGGCTGGAGCAGTACAGCTGGAAAGAGAATCCCAGGGCTTGGCCTCAATGGCAAGGATGCAAGGACAGGATCAGAGAGAACTTGAGGTATATGGCTTGCCCCGCTTCCTTGTCTACTCCCACCAGGCTAGGGGAATGGAGGCAGAGCAGGTCTGGAGGCTTAGCCTTGTTTTGAGTCTATTATAATGAATTTATTTGATTGGTTGAGGTTAAACAACTACTGAGAGGCTACTGACAGGCAGTGCTCAAGGGAGTATGGGACATCTGCCTTCTCTCCTCAGGGGCCAGCAGGCTCCCTTCTCACCTCCATTCCCCCAGCCTCAGGTTTGCCATGATGAGTACTGCATTTGACTTTTTTTTTTTTTTAACTTATCTGTATTTGTTACAAGTTTTAAGTGGATTGTGACTTGGGCACTACATTTCTATTCACAAGCCTCACTTTTCAAAACAATTTTACAACACATATGGGTAGGGCTTATAATTTTGCTCCTCTAAACAATACTTTTTCTTTGGAAAACAAGCCCTGTGTAGAGTTTCATCAAGTTGCTTCACTTTAAACATACTTATTTCTAGAGAACTAGTAGTACATGCAGTGCATTTGACTTTTTCACCAGCACATGGAAAAGAGGAGACTCGCTGTGCTTCTAGAAAAGTCAGAATGTTCAGTGTCAGGCAGCTCTAGGTAGACAGCAAACATTATTGGGCATCAACTGTGTCCAGGCCTTGAGCTGTGATTTCAGCATAAAGAAATAAGGACATATTCCTGCCTGAGTAGATCTTGCTTTGTTTCTGCTAAAAGTTAAACCCTTACAGCAGGGTAGTTATCTGGATTCCTGCAGATGCCCAACCTTCCTCCATTCCCACCTCCCTTTACTCTTCTCAGTCTCAGACACACAATGAAAGAGGCATTTTTAAAAAAATTAATGCTTATTCTGTGCCAGGCACTGTTCTAACTACATTTAATCCTCAAAACAACTTTCTCAGGTTGGTTACTTCTATTATCCTCTCTTATAAAAGAGGAAACTGAGGCATGGAAAACTTGGGACTTTGTGCCCAAGTCACAAAGCTGGTAAATGGAGAAGCCCCTGTTATAAGAGATAATTCCCCAAATCTGATGCCTCCATCTCTCCACATTCTCACCACAAAGTAACAGACCACTTGGTCTAGATTCCCTGAATTTGTCCAATGATGAGGCAGATACTGGGACGGGGGCAGGAGTATTCAGCAGTCAACAAGTTGTCTCCCCTGAGATCCAACCTGGGTACTCCAACATATCGGTGGAGCCTTCCTTTCTGAATGTCAAAAGTCTTCAGCAGACTTACTTGGAACTAAATGTTTATAACAGGACTCCTGGCCCTGCCCTGTGGCCCTGGGCAGGCTGCTTAAATTCTGGGCCACAGTTTCTTCCTCCAAATTCCTTCCTCAAATAAGGTAGCTGCACTAGATGAACTTTTAAGATTTTGTGAAAGGGCCTAGAACAGGCTAACTCTGTACCTCTCTTCTCTGTGCCCCAAACACATGACAACTTCACTTCAGCTATTTCAGAAGTGACCTACTGCTTCCCTTCACTCTCTACTGTATCCCCTCCCCAATTCCCAGCCCTTCCCCAAACCCATTCTCCCTTGCAGTGAACTGAGAAAGGGCACCAGAGGCCAGGCCCTGAGAGAGAGACAGACAGACAGATGGACACACTGAGGGCAGAAGTAGGGCTGCTGTGGACAATTGCTCAGGCCATGCCCCACACACCTCAGGAGTGGCGCCCAGCACACTGGCATGGCCAGAGGGGTCTAAAGAAGCCTCCAGCCTGTCCCACCCTTAGAAAATCAGCAGATAAATCTTAAACATCAAGGCTCTGGGCAAATTCATCACTCCCACCCAGTATTAGCTCCCTATTAGAGTCACAGTGCGCATGCACATACTAAAGGTACTCGGAGTCCTACTACAGAGAAGTCTGTTTAATGCCAAGTTTCCTAAACTTATTTGATCACAGAATCCTTTTTCTAATGAAGCCTATTATACCTCCCACAGTGTTAGTATCACTGATGTCAAATCAGCCAAGCTCTCTTCAGATTTCAATTTTCAAAGAATTGTTGGGGACCGCTTTAGGCCAGCTGTTGTGCTGGGTGCTTGCACACACATAATTCATGAAATTTCCCAAATATTCTGTGAGGTAGGTATGAGTATTCTCCTGTGATAGATAAGGAAACTTTGCCCAAAATACTACGGCTAATATGTGACAACAGCCAGATTTGCCCAACATCTTCTGCACTCTGGCACCCCAGCGCATTCCAGTTATAACTGCCAGCTTCTAGGCCGAGGCTAAGCACCTTCTTTCTGCACAAACTTTCTTTTCATGAACTGATGGTCCAATACTGGGATCCTGGAATAGTACTTTCTTCCTTCCCTCACTAATACCTGAGGCTAAGGACATAATACACTAGAATCAATTACTTCAAGTAAAGTGGCCAACCCAATTCTTTAGGGTCAAGGCAGGTATGGACAAAGGAATTCTGGCTTTGGTCACTAACTACATTCCAGAATATTAGAACTAGGGGAGGTGTGGAACCTCTAGGTGAAGGAAGAGGTCAAATCAGAGAGAAATGCCATGGTGTAGTAGAAACTGCAGATGCCAGGGTATCAAGAGAGGTCATTGACTTTTCTTTCGATAGGCCAATTCGTTATGCTGACTTTATATATACATTAATATAATCATTAATATATGACACAAGAATAAAAATATGTATCTTGTCCAACTCCAGATAGTGTGATGATAAGAAAACAGAGTTTAAGCCTGGATATAGTAGTTTATGCTGGTAATGCTATAGCATTTTGGGAGGCCAAAGCAGGAAGATCACTTGAGGCCAGGAGTTCAAGACCAGCCTGGGCAACTTATTGAGACCCTGTATCTCTATAAAAAATATCTCTATAAAAAAATAAGAAAAATTAGCCAGGCGTGGCACATGCCTGTAGTTTCTACTTGGAAGGCTGAGGCAGGAGGATCACTTGAGCCTAGGAGCTAGAAGCTGTAGTAAGCTATGATGACACCACTGCACTGTAGCCTGGGCAATAGAGCAAGACCCTGTCTCAGAGAAACAAACAAACAAACAAACAAACAAACACATCCTGAAAAAGTTAAACACTGTTCAAAGGAATAGCTATGAGCTCTGTTTAATTAATGGGAGTAAAGGTATAGAACACATCACTCCAAGTAGAAAGTAAAAATGCCACTAGGTTCAGGAAAGATCTGGTTAAGGGTTTAGTAGCCTCTCTAGCCTACCTCCCAGAAGAAGGACCTGAGCAGATCAGGGCTGAGCCAGGCTGGAACAATGGACCAGAGACTCGGTGAGGGCTCCCAAGTGGGCCTTGAAATACTCCTCTCCCCTCCCTGGGAATCCAACCCCCAGCCCTGTGCCTCCTGGGCCATCACTTCCATCCCACCTGGCCTCACCCATCATTTCAAAACTATCCAATATCCCCCCTACCCCCCACCCCATTGCCTTGGACGCCAGAATGGCTTCTAGTCATGGAGCTCCTGGCCAACAGCGCCACCTATGGCTGGATGCGAGCAGGAGACGGGACCCAGAGGATTTGCTCGCAGATGAATTTTTTGGTGAGTTAGCTAGCTTCTCTTCTCACTCCCTGGTAATCACATTTCTGCCTGATATCTGTATTCGACAGTGACCTCTGGGGGACAAAAAGGAGGCAGCAGCCAGCTTCACAAAGTGCTAGGCTGCAGATTCAAGTGCTATCAGAAGCACTTTTGTTCCCAGTTTGGGCCCAGGGCCTCTTACGCCAGGGAATGCTTGCTGAAGCACGGAGTTTGTTTTCCTACAGGCAATTTCTCCGTTGTCTGAAATTGCTAAATTCCACTTTAGGCACTGACTCCTGTTAATGATGAGAACAATAACAAAAATAAACTGCCTTTTATATGAGGGCTTCAAAGTGCTTTATAAACGCAAACCCTTATTATTATGACTTTATATTTATAGACAAAGCCCACTGCAGGGGCTGCTGGCTGCATGTACAGCAATAATCCTGAAATTAATTCATTCATCTCCACCCCTTCCCTTGTCCCCTTAACCCTGCCAAAGTGATGGGCTATGGGGGTCATTAAGAGGATGGTAGAGCTCAGTGCTGCACTGGGGAAATCTGGGAGCTCCCCTGCTCCCCTGCGGGTCTCACAGGCCTGAGGGAGATGAATGGGGAAGCTGCTACACCGCCCGAGAAGACGGACAAGGAGCCAGGTCCTCCTTACTGCATGTTAAGCAGTGGATGGGTAGGGGCATCTCTGGGTTAGGCTTAGCACCTTGTGAGGCACACTGAATGGCTTCACAGCTTGCAGACAGCTAACTTATAAAACCTCCCATCTCACCCAAACCTATTTCATAGGTGTTGGCCCTATACTGTAATCCCTCTGGCCCACAGCAAGACCAGTTCATTTCAAGGCCATTCTCTTCATGCCTCAAACAGGGCACTTCTCTTCTCCTATGATCAGTCAAAACCCCAGAAACCCAAATGGGATCAATGCACTTCCAAGATGGAAATGCACCTCGGCCACCTTCTGTCCTTTCAACCCCTGGTTTCCCTCCCCCCTAGCAGACCACAGAGGGAAGTAGAGTACTCCTTGTGAAACATGAGACTTCCAAGAGCATGAGACTTCCAAGATGCTAAAGTATCTACCTACTATCACTCACTCCAGGGAGGGATCAGGTCTACTGCTGCTTAGGCCAGTACTTGAAAGTCCCATAACTACCACCTAACACAGATGTGCCTTCCAAGCCATGGCTCCTTGCCAGCTCTGCCAGTGATGTCAAGTCACTAGGCCAACACCATGGACTAGATCCAGCCAGGAGGTCAAGGTCATAATAACCTAATAGCAGAACCACCTGAGATCACAAGTTAATGGCCATGTGATTCCCTCATCCAACAAATATTTATTGAGCCCCAGTGTGTACCATGTCCTATACTAGACACTTGTTCAACTTTCCCTGCCCAGATGGAGCTGATTACATTATTCAAGCTGGTCCTGCAAAGAGGAAGCCCTTCTACTTACAGTGACTCCTGAGTTTTAGTTCTATCAGCCAGCCAGCAGCCTGCCTGCCTGCCTTCCTTCCTCAGAGATGGAGGAAAGAGGCTTCCTTCTCTGTCTTCTGGGGTAGGAAGTAATCTGAGACCTAATCCCAGATCAAACCCCACCCCACACTGTGCTCATACATAAGCAGGCAGGTATCCTCCACGCCACTCACTTTTTGTTGGTCGTTCTGACAATGATGCAGCGCTCATTCTGGTCCACACAGACACTATAAATATCCTTAGGGTAGGGGAGGTTTCGAATCCGCCACTGGAAACTCATCTTGGTGTCCTTGCGCATGAAGATAGGCTGCAAAAGGCAAATCCAACTCAAGGACTATTCTTAGGAAAGGGATGGCTCCCACCCCCCTCAAAGCTCTACCCAGAGGCATAATAGGAGACCCTCAGCTCTTCACAGCTCCCCTCTGATGCTGTATTGCTGTGACATTCCAGGCTTGGAGCCCTAACCCTGGGATGATCAAGCCAGTGTTTCTATTCATTCAAACATTATTATAGAGTGCTGTGTTCAGGTGGACACGCTGGAGATGAAGAGGTGAACAAAACATGCTCCCTGCTCTCAAGGGCCAGCAGCCCACCCCCACCTTAGCCCAACAAGACACCTGGATGGATGGACGTACATTGGCATTGCTTTCCTTGATGAGTTCAGGGCCCAGGCTCCCTGCTCCTGGGGGCGCTGGCTCTCCCACCTCAAGCTGCCACTGGCCCAAGGCTCCCAGAGCGCTTTTCACACGCCACTTTCTCACTGGAGAGAGAAGCAATGGGATGATGATGAAGAAAGGGTCTCTGTTCTTTTCTGCTGGTTTAGCAACACCATGTTCAGTAACTAGAACAAGTTAAAACTGGGAGTTTTGGGCCTTTACACCGACTTAGTTCATTTGAGCAGGGACCTCACAGCCTCTGAAATCTCAGTAGGACATTTCAATCTTAGACAACTTGCAAAGCCCATCTCACGAGTGCCCAGACAAAAAGACCTGGAATGAAGCTCTGAGAGGAACCAAGTGGAATCAAGAAATCCTTAGAAAGTGGCTTCAAGCAAGAAAATGGAAGGGTTAGGAAAAGGGTGGTTTCTGGTAATGGGAGAAATTTGGAACCCCAAAATGGGAGTTGAGATGCATTTTTTTCCCCTCTAAAAAACATGCAAAGGAAAAAAAGAATTAAGAGGGTAAAAGCTGTTGGGCAGGTTTGTCTCATGATTCAGAAAGTCCAAATATAGAAATTCACTCATTTAAGGTATACTTGGCTTTAAAAAAGCAACCCCAAAACTGTATTTAAACAAAATCTTAGGCACATGCCATATTTTAAATGCACTATTTATAAGAGATCTAATGTGAATTTTTTTGTAAGATGGAATCCTTTTATAATGCAAGTAACCATCTCTATTTTACCTTGTTTCACAATCCACATGTTTGCCTAAGATTTTTTTTAAATAAGGCACATATATTATGGAAATGATAAATCAAGAAACTAGTTCAATGGACATTACCTGGAAACCCCTGCTGAGATTTTTCAGGAACCCTGCTCAGCCATGTTGTAGTGACTGCTGTTGTGCAGTCTCTGCCCCCAATTCTCCCCCCCACACACACACCTTTCTTTTCCTTTCCTGATGCATTAGGAATCACAGAGGCTGCTGCCTCTGGTATCCTCCAGCCTGAGCAGCCTTCTATAGCTGCTTAAGGAGCTAAACAACTCAAAAAGTGCATGGTACTCTGCCACAGTTGTTTCCATTTTCTCCTTTTTCCAGGTAGGGAGATGATAGCTACAGTCTGATTCTCAGTGTCAGGTAAGCAGGTGGTTTTCCTTTAGACCTTTTGAGAAACTGTGCCAAATCTAAACACCCTCACTGCTATAAGTAAGGCACACAAGCTGAACATAGAAGCATGCTGTAAAATTAGAATTTTCTCTTGAATATGTGCTTTTATAAGGTCTGCTGCATTCTGCAGTGTGATTTTATTACATCTTAGAGCCAAAAATCCTCCCTAGGAACACATTTCCAAGTTTATAATGAAAATTAATAAGGAAGAGTAAAACTTGGAAATATGCTTTATAGGCAACATTTTTTTTTTTTTTACAAATACTTCTCTCCTAAGTGAATGGACTGTGACCAGGAGTATATCCAAATCTATTCACTGTAATACCTCACTTCACTGGAAGCCAGCCTTCTGGGGATCTCTGTCACAGTCACAAATGCAGAAGTGACAAATGCTTCTAAGCTTATTGTGACAAGATCCATGTAACCTCCTCTATATTATAGGAAAGATCACTCCCAGATTCTCACTCAGACTGTGTATAAAATGCTATGTGTAGGCCGGGTGCGGTGGCTCACGCCTGTAATCCTAGCTCTCTGGGAGGCCGAGGTGGGCGGATTGCTCGAGGTCAGGAGTTCAAAACCAGCCTGAGCAAGAGCGAGACCCCGTCTCTACTATAAATAGAAAGAAATTAATTGGCCAACTAATATATACAAAAAAAAATTAGCCGGGCATGGTGGCACATGCCTGTAGTCCCAGCTACTTGGGAGGCTGAGGCAGGAGGATCCCTTGAGCCCAGGAGTTTGAGGTTGCTGTGAGCTAGGCTGACGCCACGGCACTCACTCTAGCCTGGGCAACAAAGCGAGACTCTGTCTCAAAAAAAAAAAAAAAAAAAATGCTATGTGTAGAATAAAGCAGGAAATTACTTTTTTCCCAGGCATATTGACAACAGTATCAGGGGACAGCTCACATCAGAGGGCAGTGTTAGAACTACACAAGCACTTGGGAGCATTTAGTATGAGGGCAAACAAGTATCCTTAGACACCGAAGGTATTGCTATATAATAGAACACAATCATCGCAGATTTTATTTTTTTTTTTTTTTTTTTTTTTTTTTTTTTTTTTTTTTTCTTCCCTCCCCCCCATCGCAGATTTTAAAGGTGAAAGTTCCTTTAGAAAGCGTCTAGTCTGATCTGTATTTTTTTAAATGAGAAATAGCATTTTTTTTCTCTTTTCTATTGTCCATAAAGAAATAGCATTTCTCCCATTTCAACTCTTGCCACTGCTCACCAGGGGACAGAGTATGAGGAATTACTGAGGCTCAAAAAGACTAACTTACAAATGCCACAACTAAACTACAGGTCTCCTAACTCTAAATCCAGAATTTGAATCATTAATAAAAGGTTAAACGTTATTCTATAAGTGTTCAATATATAACATTTAGAAAGGTTTCTTTTTTAAAGTATATAGCTCTATTTGTTTGTTTGCTTATTTGTTTAAGAGATAAGAGTCTTGGCCTCCCGTGGTGGCTCATGCCTATAATCCTAGCACTCTGGGAGGCCGAGGCCAGTGGATTGTTTGAGCTTAGGAGTTCGAGACCAGCCTGAGCAAGAGCGAGACCCCGTTTCTACTTAAAAAAAAAAGAAAGAAAGAAAGAAATTAGCTGGACAACTAAAAGTACATATATAAAAAATTAGCCAGCCATGGTGGCGCATGCCTGTAGTCCCAGCAACTCAGGAGGCTGAGGCAGTAGGATCACTTGAGCCCAGGAGTTTGAGGTTGCTGCTGTGAGCTAGGCTGATGCCAAGGCACTCTAGCCCAGGCAACAGAGTGAGACTCTGTCTCAAAAAACAAACAAACAAACAAACAAACAAACAAAAAGAGATAAGAGTCTTGCTCTGTTGCCCAGGCTGGAGTACAGTGGCACAATCATAGCTCACTGCAACCTCCAAATCCTGGGTTCAGGTGATCCTTCCACCTCAGCCTCCTAAGCAGCTGAGACTACAGGCTCACAGCATGACACCCAGCTAAGTTTTTTTTACTTTTTGTAGAGATGGGGTCTCACTATGTTGTCCACCCTGGTCTCTAACTCCTGGTCTCAAGCAATCCTCCCACCTTGGCCTCCCACAGTGCTAGGGGGTTACAGGTGTGAGCCACTGTGCCTAGCCATATTTGTTTTTTATAGGTGGCTTTTAAAGGCTAAGCTTTGATAACTTGAAAAAGTAAATTATGAGGAATACCTAACTATCTACAGCTGGATAAGCAAGGCACCCCTATAATCATGGACCTCGTTAAACTGTATGTCCTAAGATGTACATAATACAGTACTAATGTGGCCTGAGAGGCAATAACCACCCCAGGATTTTCTGTCCACTCTTTTAATCCAAGAAATGATGGGTTTTGCACAGAAACTTTCCCAAGTACCAAAGAAGGAACAAAGTCAGCTGCTGGTTTCCTTACTTCTGACCTTAAAAGCCACTTGGGTCACAGGAAATTGGCACCCTTGGCTGCTTCACATTTTTTTTGTTTTAACAACTTAGGAATTAAATTCTTTGTTAGATTGCAGAAGAAAGTTTCCCTTCTCATTCCCTCAAGAGAGAAGATCCAATGAAGGATTTTGGTAGTCCTTATTTTTCTAATGCATGTGGCATGAACGCACATGTACAAATGCACACGGTCTTTTCTTGTCCCTGTCTTTGTTCCTGAACTCAAGGACAGCTCCTGCGGCAACAGAAGACTGTTTCCACCTGCTGTCACTCTGATTTGATTATATGTTAAACCCAAACTGGTGCGTGTGAGGCAGTTCCCTGGGATGCTGTCTTATCTTCCCTGGTTGAGCCAGGGCCAGTCCTTGGAAAGGAGACTTTCAACGACCCTATAAAAAGTCTGATAGGGAATACATGAAGGAGGCAGCACCTGGGGGCTTTTTCCTAAATCAGCAGGAAACAGACTGATGTCCCAGACTGCTGAAAAGAGGCCCCATCTTTCAGGTGGGCTGGAAAGTGGAAGTCCTAAAGGCTTCTTTCCCCAAAGCTCCAAGCCCTGGCCCACTTCCAATGTGGATAATTACATTCCCCTTCCTAAATACTCCCTGCAGCTTAAACTGGATGCAGGATTCTTCTCTTCTGCCCTAAAACACTGCAACATTGCTATGTGGCTATTAAACAGCTGCCACGTCCCATCCCAGAGGAGGCTGAAGGGAATCGAGTGGGTCATTTATAAAGCCAGTGAAGTGCTTGGGGATGAAAGTGCTCAATATCCTCCAAATGCAGCCTGGGGTGGTTAGGCTGGCGGTCAAATACCAAAGCAGATTAAGCCGGTAATCCGAATGTAATCGTTGGGGGATGGCCTGCCCTTCAGCCTTGGCCCCCCTGGACATGCTGTGTTCTTCTCAGGCTGGTTTGATGTTCCGATCATTGTTACGGGCCTTCAGTTTTTTCCCCTATAAATACATACAGCATTCATTGTGGAGGGTGGGAATGAATAGCACTGAGAGGATAGGAAAAAAATATGACACTAACATGCTTATTAACATCGACTGGAAGAACCCAGTCCCAGACAGATGCACACCTATTGGCAATTCTTCCTCTGCAAATTACTTTCTAAGTTTTTCTAGCAGAAAACCAGTTTAGCCAATTATCAAATTTGTATAATTAGCTGGAAGAATGGAAACTATTCCTAATTACTGACACAAAAACTATGTCCATATTTTACTTCAAGGAAAGCACAAGCAAAAGCCAGCTCAGACCCTGGGATTATTTATACTTAAAAATTAATAATGAACAGTATTTTGCAAGGGCAGCTAGGGGAGGTAGAGAAGAATAAGAAAAAGATCTGTTCTGTGGCTGGGGCCCAGTGGTTCAAGTGGGGTGCTCCTCTCTGCCCATGAGTCCCCATTCAGGTCATTTTGGGGAAAGAAAAATTTAGTAAGAAAAGAAGGTTGGATTTAAATATTCTCAACTCCTAATACTACGTTGCTGTGGATTAAAGTATGGGCTCTTAATTGGACAGAATGAGGCTTAAAACCTGGCTCAGAAACTAACTAGTTCTGTGATTCTGAACAAGGTGCTTAACCTCTTTGAGCTTCTGTTTTTTTATTTTTTTCCAACTGTAAAATGGGGACAACAGTAGCCCTCATAGGGCTTTTTTTTTTTTGAGACAGAGTCTCACTTTTGTTGCCCAGGCTAGAGTGCCATGGCGTCAGCTTAGTTCACAGCAATGTCAAACTCCTGGGCTCAAGCAATTCTTCTGTCTCAGCCTCCCGATAGCTGGGACTACAGGCATGTGCCACCATGCCCGGCTAATTTTATGTGTGTGTGTGTGTGTGTGTGTGTGTGTGTGTGTGTTTAGTTGGCCAATTAATTTCTTTGTATTTATAGTAGAGACAGGGTCTCGCTCTTGCTCAGGCTGGTTTTGAACTCCTGACCTTGAGCAATCCACCCACCTTGGCCTCCCAGAGTGCTAGGATTACAGGCGTGAGCCACCATGCCTGGCCATCATAGGGCTCTAATGGGGATGATTAAATGAGATAATTCACATAACATACTTAGCATGGTACTCAATAAGAGTTACAGTGTTAATATCATTATTAAGCAAATTTTAGCCAAACAGCTCTCCTATGAAGAGTGTTCTCCATTTCTACTTTAAAAAAAAAAAGGAGTTTGGAGGCCATGATGTGTTCCCCACCTGCCACCAGGAGAAGTGACAGGTTAATGTGAGACATTGGGGCATGCAGTACTACAACTGAAGAAACCTGGACTTGTTTTTAATTTTACTTTCATGTCCAAACACAACAAAGAAGCCTGGGTTTTATTTGTTTGTTTTTACAGCTATAGCAGCTATAGTTGGTTTATTTGCTCTGTGTGGAGGGGAAGAGAGGTGGCACTGGGGGGCTGGGGGTGCAGAGCTGTGGCTAGTTGCTGGCCTGGTTATGGTGGTGGTGAGCCCACGTGACCTCTGCTTTCATAAGTTCTCCCCTGTTAGGCATTCCAAGGCTGTCATCCCCTGGGAGCACTATAAATTACAATGCATTGTAAGGATATTACTACTGTATTGGTTTCCACCGAATCAGTGTCATATGCTAAACACATCAAGATTTTTAATAGCACCAGACTAAACCAATTGGGATTGGAGCCCAAGCAGCTCATAATAAGGAGGGATCAACACTTCACTCTGTGACTGAACATGCGCAGGACACACATTTTAAGACTGGAGACTAAAGAATGCAAGCCAGTGTAATCCATATTGTCGGTTCTAGACATTTATGAGCTGTCAGAAAAAGGGAAAAAGAAATTCCCTCGCCAATACTACCTGTCGATCAGGCCCAGGAAGAAATTAAAGTCAAGAATAATGACAAGAAAATAACCCAGCCCATGATTCCATCATTGGTCTTAGCATTTCAGATGGAACTTAATAAAGAGACCAACTCCCACTGCTGACAGCATTGGGCCCTGGGTCAAAGAGCCAGCCACCTAGCTCTAGGAAGCTGGTTAATGCTGGTGTGCATACCTGGGAACAGCGAGAGGGAAAATCAAACAATTCTCAGAAATCCAAGCTGGAACCCCTATCCATGAGCCTATTCTTAGGGGAAACGAGTTGCAGGAATGAAAATAGCAATGCTGCAAAATCGCCATTTCTACCCCCTTTGATTCAGACATTTTTTAAGATGAGTATTATATTTTATAGTGTCACCTTGGAGGCAAGGTCAGAAGCTGTGCCTCTGAGACTTGCTTGTTCCTGAGGTGGCTTTAGAAAACAAAGCAAAAAAATTGCAGTGAAAGCATGTCCTTACCTCTACTCAGCCTACGAGGCTCACTGCCAATACCATGTCCTCTGTAGAGCTTTTTCTCAACTGTTTCTCTATATTCCCATTCCCATCTTAGAATTACCAACTCTCCCATTTGTCTGAGGGTACGGGTGGGGATGAGTTTTACTGGTCAAAAGGACTCCTGCTCAACTTTTGGTGTCCAGATTATTCTCAAGAATAATCTTGCCTCTAGGGCTTTGGTCTACTCTAGCTTCTACATTGGTCTGGGCTCCTCCCTCAAGCCTAAGGCTAGGAGTGTTCACCTGTGCTTAGGTCAGCCCCAAATGTTTCTGAGGACCTACTGGGAGCCTCTGTCACTTACCAAGTAGTTCAGTTGTCTTCTCATCATATTCTTCGGCCATTTCCTTCCCGTCTGGAAACAAATAGTGCACCTTCCTTCTCCCTACACACAAAGCAGAGAGTGCCTTACCTCAAAGCCTCCTCTTACCTTGGCCTTTGCAAATCAAGGGGCCTACGTGGGAAACAGCAGAAGCCTTGGGAAAATTGAGACACCCTGCCAGGGCCTCCCCCAAACACCTTGCCAAACAACACTCATCATTACTTTAAGACATGTCCTGCAACTCACTTCCTTTCTTAAGCTTTCTCTGAATGTCTTTGCTCTGCTGTTTCCTCTACCAGCAATAGTGCCATACTTTTTTCCATCAGTGGAACTCTTCCTTGCTCTTCAAAATCCAGCTCAAATGTCACTTCCACTGGGAAGCCCTCCTTAACTATCACCTCTAGCCACCATGGCAGAATTAATCACTTCCTCATTTGTGTTTCCCTAATGCTTTAGTAATATCCATAGTAAAGCATTTATCATATACTATGATACTTTTAAAAGCATGTCTCTTCATGAATGATATCATATTTATCTTTCTCTCCCCCAGTTCCTAAAACCAAGCCTATGTGGTCAGGATACTGAATGAGTTTCTTGACCAAGCACTCCCTCCAGCCATGTCATTGCTCTGCTTCCTTCTGTATATCTCTAGGTCATTCCTATCACATAGCCACATGATATGAGTCCTCACATTAATGGCACTGACTTTGGTTATGATTTTACATCTGTTTGTGTGATTCTTTAATTATTACCTATTTGTCCTACTAGATAGGAAGGGTTTTATTCCCCATGCCTATGGTTTCCCAAAGACCAAGCATTGTAGCTTGTATATATTAGGAGCTCAACTAAATACTGATCAAAAGAATGAACAAACATTGATGTACTATCTATTTTTTTTTTTTTTTTGAGACAGAGTCTCACTTTGTTGCCCAGGCTAGAGTGAGTGCCGTGGCGTCAGCCTGGCTCACAGCAACCTCAATCTCCGGGGCTCAGGCGATCCTCCCGAGTAGCTGGGACTACAGGCATGCGCCACCATGACCGGCTAATTTTTTTTTTGTATATATATTTTTAGTTGCTCAATTAATTTATTTCTATTTTTGGTAGAGACGGGGTCTCGCTCAGGCTGGTTTCGAACTCCTGACCTTGAGCAATCCGCCCGCCTCGGCCTCCCAAAGTGCTAGGATTACAGGCGTGAGCCACCACGCCCGGCTTGTACTATCTATTGAAAGAAAAGAACTCAAGGGAATCCCCTAGCCCAACTCCTCTACCTATGTAATATAATCATAAACATTTGCTTAACAGTGGCTATGTAATTTCCCCTTTCTTTTTATACCTAGATAAATGGATACAGGCAGGCTCCTCAGAAAGACTAGTAACGGGGCACTAATGCCCAGTAGACAAGTACCCTACATACGTTTGATGAATAAGAGCCACAAGGTGCCTTTTTCCCATCCAATTTACTCTTTTGGAAGATAGTTCTCTTGAGTCGTTCCTAATCTGTATTCCACAGAAACTCACCCCTCCCCCAAATTTGCAGGGCCTCTCAGCAGACCCCTAGGTTACACCACCCTTAATCACTTAGATGGCTCACAGGAGCTGGAAAGAGTTTTCCTGTCAGGAATGGAATACAAGATGTTGCCTTTGAGTAGCTGAGGGTATCTAGCCTTGAGTCCAGACAGGATGCAATGCTTAATATCAATCCACCAGGTACTTTACACATTGTATTGAATTTAATTCTCACAATAATCCTATGTGTCTGTATTACTTGTATTTCACAGATGAGGAAAATTGAGGCTTAAAGGTCATGCGAAGTATCCAAGATCATAAAGCTAGGAAATGACAGAACTGGGCTTAAACTCACGGTCAAAATCAATATTCTAATAACTATACTGGGATAATTTGTATGGCTTTAAATATTTGTAAGATTAAACATTATTCCAAGGTTTAATTGGCCATTTTTCTAGTGAATTACCTATTTATGCCTTATCCTATTTTGTTTGGCTTTGCCTTATTGATCTGATTAAGCTTTGTATGTATTAACCATGCATCATACATGTTGCTAATGTTCTGTTTCAGCTGCCTTTAAACTTTGTTTAAAGTAGATTCTCCCAAACAAGTATAATTTTTTTTAAAAAAAGAGATGGCATCTCGATATGTTGCCCAAGCTGGAGTGTAGTAGCTATTCACAGGTACAATCATAGCATACTGCAGCCTTGAGCTCCTGGGCTCAAGTAATCCTCCCACCTCAGTCTCCTGAGTAGCTGGGACTATAGGGACAGGCCCCTGCACATAGCACAAGTGTTTAGTTTTTATATAGTCAACTACCTATTTTTTCCTTTGTGGTTACTGCCCTAAAGTCTTGGCTGATGAAATATTTCTTTAAACACTGTATAGTGACCAAAGGAAGTGAAAGCAGAGACTAGATATTTGTACACTCAAGTTCAGAGCAGCATTATTCACAATAGTCATACAATGGAATCAATCCAAGTATCCATCGACAGATGAATGGATAAATAAAATGTATATACATACAATGGGATATCACTCAGCCTTAAAAAGGAAATTTTGACACATGCTACAACATGGATGAATCTTGAGGACATTATGCTAAGCGAAAGAAACCAGTCACAAAAGAACAAACATTATATGATTCCACTTACATGAGGTTCCCAGAGTAGTCAAATTCATAGAGACAGAAAGTAGAAAGGTTGTTGTCAGGGGCTGGGGGGTAGGGAATGAGGAGCTGGTGTTTAATTGGTACAGAGTTTCAGTTGAGGAAAATAAAATGTTATGGAGATGGACGGTGGTGATGGTTGCACAACAATGTGATTGTACTTAATGTCACAAAACTATACACTTAAAAATGATTAAAATGGCCAGGTAATCCTAGCACTTTGGGAGGCCAAGGCAGGAGTATCCCTTGAGGCCAGGAGTTTGGGATCAGCCTGGGCAACAGTGAGACCCTGTCACTACAAAAAATAAAAAGCAAAAAATTAGCCATGTGTGGTGATAACATGCCTGTAGTCCCAGCTACTTGGGAGACTAAGGCAGGAAAATCGCTTAAGCCCAGGAGTTTGAGGTTGCAGTTTGAAAGCTATGATGACACCATTGCACTCTAGACTCTAGTGTAGGCAACAGAGTGAGACCCTGTCTCAAAAAAAAAAAATTAAAATGGTAAATTTTATGTCATGTCATATATATTTTTTACAATAAAAGCAAAAACAAAACCACTGCCCCATGAGATAATGGCCAAATTTTTTTGTTTGTTTGTTTCTTTGAGACAGAGTCTCACTCTGTTGCCCGGGCTAGAGTGCCGTGGCATCAGCCTAGCTCACAGCAACCTCAAATTCCTGGGCTCAAGCAATCCTCCTGCCTCAGCCTCCCAAGTAGCCAAGACTACAGGCATGTGCCACCATGCCTGGCTAATTTTTTCTATATATTTTTTTTAGTTGGCCAATTAATTTCTTTCTATTTTTAGTAGAGATGGGGTCTTGCTCTTGCTCAGGCTGGTTTTGAACTTGAGCAATCCTCCCGCCTTGGCCTCCCAGAGTGCTAGAATTATAGGCATGAGCCACCACGCCCAGCCTGCCCAAATCTTTAGTACAGTATTAGAGATCACAATATGTCCCAATTTATCTGTAATCTCTCTTAATTTTCTACCATTTCCCCTCATTACTCCTTGAGAAAAGGGAACTTTTTATTCACTCCTGTATCCCAGCATCTAAAATAGTACCTGACACAGTGTAGGGGGTTTGTTCTGACTGACTGGATGATTTGCTTTAACATTACTAAACATTTTGCTATTCCCCTAGTAATCAGCCACATACCTTCACACGTTGCTATTTGTTTGTTTGTCTGTTTATTTATTCATTTTGAGACAGAGTCTCGCTTTGTTGCCCAGGCTAGAGTGAGTGCCGTGGAGAGTGAGTGCCGTGGCGTCAGCCTAGCTCACAGCAACCTCAAACTCCTGGGCTCAAGCAATCCTTCTGCCTCAGCCTCCCGAGTAGCTGGGACTACAGGCATGCGCCACCATGCCCGGCTAATATTTTCTATATATATTAGTTGGCCAATTAATTTCTTTCTATTTATAGTAGAAACGGGGTCTCACTCTTGCTCAGGCTGGTTTTGAACCCCTGACCTTGAGCAATCCGCCGGCCTCGGCCTCCCAAAGAGCTAGGATTACAGGCATGAGCCACACTTTGCTCTTGAATGGCCATCCCCTCTTCTCCACTTAACAAATAACTATTAATTCTTTGGGGTCTTCCTCCAAAGAGATAATCATTTCCACTTTCATGCTTTCATAGCATTTCATACAAGATTCTAACCTCTATTTAAGACACATTACTTATTTACATGTGTTTTTCCTGACCACTCCGTGAACTTGTCCTTTTCTATCTGCTCTAGTGCAAAGTGTGGCACATAGTATAAGCCTCTGTAAATGTTGCATGAAAGAGCAAATGAACATCTGATTTTAATTTCCACAAATTCCAGGCTTCCTTGATTGGCCTCTGCCTGTAGATGTGAGCCCTCAGCTGTTATCTTGAAAGCCTCAGGAATTCATGCTTAATTCATCCTGGCTACCAAGTGGGTCCCAGAAAGGGCCCTGAAGCACAGGGAACCTACATAGGCCAATTCTAAGGTGGGGAAAGTCAGGACTCCAAACCCCTCCCTGTGCCCACCTCTTCCAGGCGCGGCCCTTGGCCTTTGCTCCATCTCCCCTAAAGACACAGGGTACAGTTAGAGATTCACTTTACAAACATAACATTGCAGCTGGATAGGACCTCAGCGATAACAATGGTCGCCCATCCACTTCATTTTACAGATGAGGAAAGTGAAGTCAAAATGAGTAAAGAGGCCGACTGTACAGCTCACTGGGAATTAATGGCAGAGTGGTACCTAGAGCCCAGGTCTCCGGCCTCTCTAAAGTCTAAACGTTCTTGAGTTTCAGTTTCTTGTTCTGTAAAACTGGGTGGTAAATTATCAGCCGCTCAGGGCAGCGGGGAGGAGCAAACATGATAATGAAGGTGAAAGGAATTATTATTTATTAGCAACCAAAAATCAGATGGTGTAGAGTAAACTAGGTATCCAGAGACGTGTGTTACAGTCACGTCATCTCTCTGGACCTCAGTTTCCTCATCTGCAAACGCAGGACCTGGCCTGACAGCCGCGACCCTTCCAGCTCTGCCGTCCCAGGCTCTGAGGCCCTTCCCGGAGGCGCCATCGTGGAGAGCCGGAACCGGGGGTTAAGGACGAGGGAACTCGCGAGGAACGTCGAGTTACCGTCCTGCAGCAGCGCCGTCTTCTCGGCAGCCCGCAGACTCTCCAACCAGCCAGTCACCGCCATCTTCCCTCCGCCCAGCAGCGCGCCGGGCCGCTGCCATGGCAACCGTTCCACTGACGATCACTTCCGGCTGACTCGGAAGCTATTCTGGGTATTTGCCTTCCCCCCCCCTCCTTTTCGTCCTCTTTCATTGGCTCCCGTGGTAAGTGGTTTGTTCGTACCCAACCCAGGTGACCATCCCAGCCATTTGTCCACCCCTCCCTGAGACCGACTCTGGAAGGTGAGGAGGACCTCTTAGGGCGGGGTGAGGACATTCCAGCTCTCCTCTGGCCCCCAGCTGGGAGTCTGGCCCGCGCAGATGCGCACGCGGCAGTGCACCACACCTGCTCGGGTCTTCAACAGCAGCTGTGAGCCCGAGACTTCCCCACTTAGGGAGGGCGACCCACACCTGCTGCGGCGTGCCCCATCTTACAGCTGCGGGATTGAGCACCGCCATGCCGAGAGGCCCGCCACCAGGGCAGGTGCAGGGCGTTTTCCCACTGCCCCCCTAAAACCTCCCTCCCGGGCTTTTCCTCTGCTACTCTGTTGAGGGTAGAGAAAAATAATGTGAGGTTTTGTGTGGGTTCCTCCCAGTCTCCACTTCCTAAAGATACTGCTCTGTTTTCTAACCTACCATCCCCTCTTGGTAAAGCCCTTTGGAAGTGGGGTGCAGCAGGGGCAGACTGCGTTGAATATTTAGAGCAACACCTCCAAGAAATGATAAATGATATTATTTCCTGCCCCTCAGAAGTCCCCTCAATAGTCCCAGTCTTTCCTTCATTTCCCCTTATACTCTAACTTGAAAGGCTGAGGACTGTAGAGCTAAGGTAAACCACTGAAGTTTAATTGGCTTCTGGGAGACCCCTAGGAACTGGGCTGCTGGCCCCAAGGCCTGGTCAGTAGAGACCCTACCTCCATAGGCACAGGGGTTGGGGAGCCTCAGTTCTGAATTTCCATATGACAACTGCTGTTACCAACCCTGAAACATAAAGGCCAAGATCCAGCCATATTTTAATGGACCCCAGAGGCATCTTGAAGGCATTTCCCAAGCGGAAGAAAATTCATGCCAGTTCATCATCAAAAGCACTTGCAAAGATTCCCAAGAGAGAAGAGGGAGAAAAAGAAGGAGGTGAGCTGACCTACCCTCAGAACCGTCAACTGCCCGAACCCTCAGCCTTCCTGTTGTTCAGCCCTACATTGTTCATGTCCGGAATCAGATATTAGAGCTGACTCTGCACGTCCAGGGCCTGTTTTACCTGCCTTGTACTAGGCTTGATCCCTGGTCATTGACAGGCCATTTGCTGTGTTATCTTCTTTCCCACTCCAAGACCTGCATCAGTTACAAAATACTCGTTGGTCCTCAGGAAATAACCAGCAGAATCCTTTGCTTTCTAGGAGGCTGGTGGGGTGGGCGGGGTTGCCCAACAGAAATCTCCCTTCAATCCCCAGACTTGTTGTAAGTTGTTTTGCAACCAAATTGACGAGGAGAGGCAGAGACTTTGGGGCTAGGGTGTCAGGTCTGCTAGACTGAAAGAGCAAGAAACATGTAATAGTAAGAAACATGGGTGCTTTATTGAAAGAATAAACGATAAAATGAAGGGATTCAAAACAGGAAGGGAAGAGGCATTCATTTTTTTGTTCAACATATATTTATAGGTTACCTACAATATGCCAGATGCTGTTCTAGGCTGTAACAGGGAACAAGGTATATAAAAATCCTTGCCCCTTACATTCAAGTAATAGCCCACAAGGAAACGTGCTGTATGCTTGTGGTAGGATCCCCAGGAAGAAGGATGTCTGGATAGAAGGAAAATTATTGTTTTGGGGGGAGGGGACTGTGAACCATTCATTCAGAGCCGAATCTGAAAGTAGGCACCTGGATGTCCCCTCTGCAGAGTGGCTGAGCTCCCTTCGGGCCCATGTTGTGCCCACTGGCATTGGACGAGCTCGAGCAGAACTCTTTGAGAAGCAGATTGTCCAGCATGGTGGCCAGATATGTCCTGTGCAGGCCCCAGGTGTCACTCACATTGTGGTGGATGAAGGCATGGACTATGAGCGGGCCCTTCGCCTCCTTAGACTGCCCCAGCTGCCCCTGGGTGCTCAGCTGGTGAAGTCAGCCTGGCTGAGCTTGTGCCTACAAGAGAGAAGGCTGGTGGATGTAGCTGGATTCAGCATCTCCGTCCCCAACAGGTGGGCTGGTCCTAGTTTTTTTTCAAATGTTTTCTGGCAGCATCTTGAAATTTATTCTTGTTATTAAACATTACTGTCCTTTTCTTTATTGGACACATTGGGAAACCAAGGTTTCAGAGGAGAAGATTAGGGACAGAGATAGATTAAGACCTTTGGTATCTTCACTTCCCATCACCATCGCTGCAGGTATTTGGATCAACCACAGCCCAGCAAGGCAGACCAACATTCTTCTACTCATCCTGGTGCCCATGAGGCTCTGCTTAGGACAGCTGTTTCTCCTCCTTCTCGCACTAGACCTGTATCTCCTCCCCAAAAGGCAGAAGAGGCACCAAGCACCCAAGCCCAGGTCAGGAGCTTCCCAGCCCCCGTATCTCCCTTCCCCTGGGAACCAGATCACAGAAATGGGGAGGGCCTGGTGGTGGTTCAGAAGTTCAAGGCCCCTGAGAGAGGAGGGCTCTTCTGTGAAGCCTTTCACCTCTTCCCAACACTCTTCACTCCCCTCAGCCATATCTACCACATACACTGAATATCCTCGGGCTAGGCCCTGGGGTAATCAAGCGGAACATGGCCCCACACTTCAGGAGACCTAAGTCTGGTGTAGAAGGCCCAGCCTCATTCTTGGGCCTAACTAGGAGACTTCTCCCACAAAGACAACCCTCATCTTTGAGGAGTCCTCCTCATGGCGACAAAAATTTATTGTCTCTTTTCCTTTTCTACCTCCAGCCCATCTCTGATGATGAAACCAGTGATGGGGAAGAAACCCGGGTCAGCACAGCTGATCTGGAAGCGCTAATCAGTGGCTACTACCCCAGCCCCCTTGAGGGAGATTGTGAGCCTAGCCCAGCACCTGGGCCACTCGATAAGTGGGTCTGTGCACAGCCCTCAAGCCAGAAGGCCAACAACCACAACCTCCACATCACAGAGAAGCTGGAAGTGCTGGCCAAAGCCTACACTGTTCAGGGAGACAAGTGGAGGGCTCTGGGCTATGCCAAAGCCATCAATGCTCTCAAGAGCTTCCACAAGCCTGTAACCTCCTACCAGGTACCTGGGGGCTATGGCAGTGGTGTTGGTAGGGTCTTCTCTTTACTAACCAGAGGTTAGTGGGGGCACCAGTTACTAATGGGGTTCAGGTACAATGGTTAAGATTTTATGATGTCTAAGATTTTCACAAAAGAAAAAAATGGGAGATTAATGAAAGCAGATTGACAAAATCTTGATAATGGTTGAAGCTAGGTGATGGGTACATAGGAGTTCATTATACTTTTGAATTTTTTTTAACATAAAAACATTTTTTTTAAAGTTTAGACTCTGGAGCCCAATAGAATCTGTGGATTCTGTGCAAGTTACTTAAACTCTCTGAGCATCAGTTTTCTCATTAGTAAAAAGGGACTAATAATAGTAACCATTTACAGTGTTCTTGCAAGGCATAAATGAGACGGTCCCTGTAGCACAGGGCCTGCACACAGTCGGCCCTCAGTAAATGTCAGCTCTCACCATTGTGATGATGATGATGGTGACTAATATCATCATTACTCTCTACTTCTCATTGCTGGTCTCCATCCCTCTGGGAACCAAAAGACAAATGACCCAGCCTTCATTGCATCCAAACTTCTCATCTTCAACTGTGCCTGAGCTTCACACAGCCACACAGTTGCCAACCAGCCAGGCTAGCTATACGCAGACATCTGCTGGAGTTGTCAACTTCTCTACTGCTGGCTCTGCCCCCCATCTCCTCACTCTTCTTTTTTGCCTATGTCTCCTCCTTCAGGAGGCCTGCAGCATCCCTGGGATTGGGAAGCGGATGGCCGAGAAGATCATAGAGATTCTGGAAAGCGGACATCTGCGAAAGCTGGACCACATCAGCGAAAGCGTGCCTGTCTTGGAGCTCTTTTCCAACATCTGGGGAGCTGGGACCAAGACTGCCCTGATGTGGTACCATCAGGTCACACCCTGGCCCATCCCCACTTCAGTTTTGCTGTGTCTCAGAGCTTCTGCCCCAGAGTTCTCTTACCCTGTGCTCTGATGGGAATGAACCCAGACTAGGCAGACCACTTTTCAAGGGTACCAGAGCTCATATAGACCCCTCTTCCAGCTCCCAGAACAGCCTTGTTGCTTGGTATCCTTGAGGTGTAGGTGGGGACAAGAAGTACATTTCTCTGTTTCCAGACCAGCTAGGGCTTCCTGAGATCAGGCCTTAGGGGCTGCATGTCCAGAACAGTGGTTTCCAAACCTGGCTGTGCCCAGAATCACCTGGGGAGCTTAGGAACAATGAAGGTGCCCAGGTCCATGCCCAGACTGATGGAATCATGACCAGTATTTTAGGATTGTGGCAGGGCTGGATTGTGGCATGTCTTCCATGCCCCCTGCCTTTCCCAAGTCCTGCTGGGTACAAACCCAAGCGCTCTGAAGTTGGTGCTGCCTCATGCCTTCCCTAGAGAGTCAGGCAGTGGAAGCCTCGTGTGTGTACTCATTCACGCCTCTTTCTTGGTTCTGGATCTTCACAGCCTCCCCTTCTGCCTGCTTTTTTCCAGGGCTTCCGAAGCCTGGAAGATATCCGGAACCAGGCCTCCCTGACTACCCAGCAGGCCATTGGCTTGAAGCATTACGATGATTTCCTAGAACGCATGCCCAGGGAAGAGGCTGCAGAGATCGAGCAGACAGTAAGCAAGTGTCCCAGAGCAGTGAGAAGAGCCAGGCCCTGCTGTAAGGTCCTGACCTCTCAGCTGGAGAGCCCAAGAGGCTGTGGCTCACCAGAGGTTGAGGAAAGAGCAAGTCGAGACTACAGCTGCCCAGAAGCGTCGGGGTGCAGGGGTGGCTTTGGGAGGGAAGAGCTGCACCATCAGCTCTCTGGATTAGAGTTCTCAGTAGCCAAGCATAGTTAGGATTGGGTTAGATGTTAGACTAGTGTTGGGACTGGGTTAATGTTAGGGGTGAGTAGAAGCAGATTATGGTCGGGATTACTTGAGGATATTGGAATTTGAACTGGACTAATTTAGAGTGGGTCAGGGCGGGGGCTTTTAATGTTTTTTTATTTACCAATTTCTTTGAGAACCTGATGAAAACTATGGACTCTTCCCTCCAGAATACACAAATGTGCAAAATTTTATATCTCTCTCCAGATGTATGGACCTTCTGGAGCCCACCCAAGGCTGGTTTAGGATTTGGATTAGAGCTGGTTTAGGAGTACAGTGCCAGTAGGATTAGGATCGGGGTTAGAAGAAAGTTCGGTGAAGATTGAGTTAAGGTTAGGCTTCCATTAGGAGTAGGGTTTTCTTAGTGTTGGTTGCTTTTGGGTTAAGATTTGTAGTTGTCCAAGAAATAAGGTTTGGCCAAGATTGGGGTTTGTTTAAGAGTTAGGTTAGAAATTATGTTTATATACAACCTAGATTAGGGCCAGGCACAGTGGCTCATACCTATAATCTCAGAATTTTGGGAGGCCAAGGCAGGAGGATTGCCTGAGGTCAGGAGTTTGAGATCAGCCTGGGCAACATAGCAAGATCCCCTCTTTAGAAAAAAAATTAAAAATTAGCCAAATATGTTGATAAGTACCTGTAGTCTCAGCTACTTGGGAGGCTGAGGTGGGAGGATTGCTTGATCCTAGGACTTTGAGGTTGCAGTGAACTATATTCATGCCACTGCACTCTAGTGTGGGTGACAAAGCAAGGTCTTGTCTCTAAAATAAGTAAATAAATAGGCTGAGTGCAGTGGCTCACACCTGTCATCCTAGCACTCTGGGAGGCCAAGGCGGGCGGATAGTTTGAGGTCAGGAGTTCAAAACCAGCCTGAGCAAGAGCGAGACCCCGTCTCTACTATAAATAGAAAGAAATTAATTGGCCAACTAATATATATAGAAAAAATTAGCTGGGCATGGTGGTGCATGCCTATAGTCCCAGCTACTTGGGAGACTGAGGCAGCAGGATTGCTTGAGCCCAGGAGTTTGAGATTGCTGTGAGCTAGCTAGGCTGACACCACGGCACTCACTCTAGCTTGGGCAACAAAGCAAGACTCTGTCTCAAAAAATAAATACTAGCACTCTGGGAAGCCAAGGCGGGCGGATAGCTTGAGGTCAGGAGTTTGAAACCAGCCTGAGCAAGAGCGAGACCCCGTCTCTACTATAAATAGAAAGAAATTAATTGGCCAACTAACATATATATAGAAAAAAAAATTAGCCGAGCATGGTGGCACATGCCTGTAGTCCAGCTACTTGGGAGGCTGAGGCAGGAGGATTGCTTGAGTCTAGGAGATTGAGGTTGCTGTGAGCGAGGCTGATGCCACGGCACTCACTCTAGCCTGGGCAACAAAGTAAGACTCTGTCTCAAAAAAAAAAGAAAATTAAAATAAATAAATAAAAATTTAAAAACCTAGGTTAGAGAGAGACTGGGGCACATTTAGGGCTAGATGTATCATTTTTTCAACTGACATCAGGATTAGGGGCTGCTTGTTATAGGCAGTGTTGCCCACTTTGGTTAGGATTCTGATGGGACATGGCCCCATGGAGACTCTGGCCCAGTTAGTTGAGATCAGCCTCCACCTCCTTTCTAGGCCATGGGACTATGAGACCAGCACAGGATAGATGGACAGGCCCCTTTGTCCACCCATCACCAGGCTTTGGGGTTAGTGATGACACTGTCACTCAGCCACGGTATCTGGGCAGGGAGAATGCCCTAGTCACCCCCTCTCCTCCCCCCTGCCCGCTGGAACAGAAGAGGCTTCCCACCTGGCCTTCCCATTGAAGGGCTCCAGCCTTAGGAGTTTTGATGGGATTACTCATCTGGGCCTCCTCCTCCCATTCTCTTGGGAGGCTCAAGAAGGGGATGAGGGGATTAGCACAGCCTGCCTGTCAGAAGAATTGAGGTGTCCAGGGCCCCAGAAATCTCAGTGTCCTGGGGCGGAGGCGGGGAGGTCATCTGCATGTGAAAGGCCTACGTGTCTCTGGGGTGGAGGCTAATGGGTTTATTTCTCCTCAGGGAGGGATCAGCCTTCAGCTGACAGTCCCCTCCATCTTCCTTCCCACCAGGAAAGGATGTGGGCACATCAGAATTGCCCCCCTCTTTGCTTTCTTTGCTTTCCTTTCCCATAAGTGCAGTGATATTTCTATGTTCTATTTTCACCCAGGCCTGGGCCCGGGTCATGCTGCTAGCCACCTGCTCAGGCCTTAAGCCCCAACTCACATGCCGCTGTTAGCTCCAAATCCATAGATTTCTGGGGCTGCCGAGACCTGACTGAGGGCTTCCAGGCACCTGGGCCCTTGTCCTAAGTGGAATTTCACAGCTGTGGGTGTGTGGGTTGGGGCAGGGGCCAAGAGAAAGTATGTCTCTTCGCCCTTAAAGAGCTCCAGAGGGCAAGCTCAGTGCCCTCCCTATGAAGCAGAGAGAGCATCTTCTTACATCTGTCCTCAGGTGCCCTGCAGCGTGAGCTTTCGCTTCTCTTCTAAGTGGAGCTAGAGAGCAGCAGCCCGAGAGCGGGCTCCCTCAGGCTGGCTGTGGGCATCTGGGCTTGGCTCAGGGCACAGGCTGAGTGTGGCTGTCCATGGGTCAGGGAAGGCCCTGGTACTGCCGTGGAAGAGGAATTCCCCATTGGCCCACAGCCCCTCACCCCTCACTGTTGTTTCCTAGGTCCGGGAAGCAGCGCAGACCTTCAACCCTGGGCTGCTGTGTGTGGCCTGTGGTTCATACCGACGGGGGAAGGTGACCTGCGGTGATGTGGATGTGCTCATCACTCACCCTGATGGCTGGTCCCACCAGGGCATCTTCAGTCGCCTCCTTGACAGCCTGCGGCAGCGAGGTACAAACTCCATCTCTGGGTGAGCAGGTTGGCAGGGGAGAAGGAGAACCTTAAAGTTGCAGTCTCTAGGCAGGAAGGAGGGGAAAGGTGCTTGTGAGAATCCCACCTCTCTCATGGCCAGAGGCCCCCCAAGGGAGAGATGAGACGGCTCCTCCACACGTCACTGGCAGTGCTCAATAATGCCTGCAGGCTGAGTGTCTCCTCTTACCTTTCTGTGACATTGTGGGGATTACTACCTGCATTTTCCAGATCAGGAGATGGGCCCAGAAAGGGCAGGATCACCTAGCAAATAAATGGGCAAGCTGGGAATAGAGAACCCAAACAATTAGGAGAGACCTGAGAGGATGGGACTGTCCAGGGCCTGGATCTCTGTCCTCCTAGCAGTTCCTCTGTCTTGGGCCAGGATTCCTCACAGATGACTTGGTGAGCCACGAGGAGAACGGCCAGCAGCAGAAGTATCTGGGTGTGTGCCAGCTCCCAGGGCCAGGGCGGCGGCACCGGCGACTGGACATCATCATTGTGCCCTACAGTGAATTTGCCTGTGCCTTGCTCTACTTCACCGGCTCTGCCCACTTCAATCGGTCCATGCGAGCCCTGGCCAAGACCAAGGGCATGAGCTTGTCGGAACATGCCCTCAGTACAGGTGTTGTCCGGAACACCCAAGGCGTCAAGGTGGGGCTTGGCCAAGTGCTACCCACCCCCACGGAGAAGGATGTCTTCAGGCTCTTGGGCCTGCCCTACCGAAAACCAGCCGAGCGGGACTGGTGACCGAGCCTGTCTGGGCGGGGGAGCTGAGCTGGACTGGCTGCCCCACCTGGCCAGACAGCATTCCCCTGCAGCCTCAGCTGGCTGAACCTCTCTACTTCAACCACCAGCTGTCCTCAGCGAGCCCGAGCCCAGGGCTCTGGGCCTGGGGGAAAGCCAGCCTGGCTCCCAGGGTCTGCCTAGCCCTCTCCCAGGCAGGAGCAGGCTGCTGTCCCTTCTGCCTCACCACTGCCCCTGGGAGAGTTTTGCAAATGGCCCCTTGCCCCATTTTTAGAAGGAACAGGTGGCTGATTTGAAGCCCCCAGGCATCCCCCTTCCCCACCCTAGGAAAGGTCTGGCTGCTGGGGTGGGCTAGGAGCTGCAGGGGAGAGGCAAGCAGCTGTGCTCCCAGCATCATCCATGACCCGCTGGAGTAGGAGAACGAGCCATTCCCCACGTATTCCCTCTACCCGCCCCGCTTGCTGTGCAGCTGGCCGTGCTGGGAAAGGGGCGCCCCAGGCTGGGTGAGGATAGCATTTGAAGGCCCAGGGGCCCAGTAAAGTGCATTTGACATTCAACCTGCCTGGTGTGTGAGATGCTGCAGCCCCACCTGCTTTCTTCCACCCTGGCAGGGACGGAGATGGGGGCCGAATAGAGGAACCCAGAAAGGCTGCATTAGCTGCCCTCTAGATAGACCTGGCCTGAGTCAGCTTCTGAACTCAGGATGGGGCAGGGAAGATATTAAAAAGGGAGAGTCATGGAATCAGACACTAGGAGCTCCTCTCTTTCTACCCATGAGCATCTCTTGTGGGCCCTGCTCTGGGCCAGGCTGTCAGGGGACATAAAAGTGACAAGGCTCATGGGAAATGATTAGTAACAACTAAATGGTGACCTGTGTACTACTGATGGGAGCAGGGTGGTCAGGGAAGGCTGGCTGGAGGAGGGGAGGAGCAGGCTGGCTGGGCAGGTGTAAGTGTTGCAGAGCTGAACCTGGTTCCTGGGCAGGCTTTCAGCCTAGTCCCCATCCTGCCAAGAAGGGAGACTGAATTTCAGAGCCCTGGGGGGAACTGGGGTCCTGTCCAGCTACTGAGCACCCACAAACCTACCACCCAGTCACCGCCTGGTTCTGAGTGGGAAGAAAGGGGTTCCCACACGCCTGCTTCCTGCCCCAGCCCAGTCCTCAGCACTCTACCCTGAGCCATGGTTGTCCTTGGATAGACCATATGTGTAGCAGGCAGAATAATTGTCCCCCCAAAATGTCCATGTCCTAGTCCCTGGAACCTGTGAATATAGTCCCTTAGTTAGCTAAAGGCACTTTGTGGATGTGATTAAGGTTAAGCATTTTGAGATGAGGTGATTATCTTGAGTAATCCAGTGGGCACAATGTAAAGATGAGTTCTTAAAAGCAGAGAACTTTTCCCAGCCACAATCAGAGAGAGATGTGAAGAGGGAAGAAAGGCCATAGAGATGTGATGTTTCTAGCTTGGAAAATGAAGAAGGGGGCTGCTAGCTAAGGGAGGTGGATGGCCTCTAGAAGCCAGAAAAGGCAAGGGAGCGGATTCTGCTCTAGAGCGGGCAGACAGGAATGCATCCCTGCCTACACCTGGGTTTTGTCCCAGTGAAGCCTGTGTCAGATTTTGAACCTGTTAGAGAGCTATGAAATAATAACTTCATGTTGTTTTAGGCCACTAACTTTGTGTAACTTATTAACTGCAACAATAGAAAATGGATAGACTGACAGACCATGGGTGCCTTCGTTTCTCCCTGTACAAAGTGGGCCAAGGGACAGTCTGTGAATGTGCCTTGCTGTGAGGTGGGGGACATCCTCTGAAGTTATGCGGGGGGTGTGGGGAAGCAGGAGAGCCTCCACATACCAGGAAGAGGAGAAGGTCAGGTAGGAGGAAAAGCCCTGGGTCCCAGCACTCTCTGGATGCTACATGGTCAGTCTGAGCCCCCCTTATTTCTGTCTGACACTTTGTGTGAAAATACAAGTCCTCTCTGGGCAGCTCAGCCCTACCCTGCCAAGCTGGGAGCCTCATTTTCCCAGCGCTTGGGGTGATGACATGAGTCTTGACCATACACTTGCACTGAAAGGAGAGCAAATGGAATTCCTATCCCTTTGAATGCAATGGGATTCCTCTTGCCAGGACTAAGGACTGCAACTTGGAGAAGACTTTGGCCTCACTCCGCCAACAGGAGAGCCCCTTTCTGGGTCCTCCCCCATTAGCTTAGAAATTGACCTCACATGGAAACTACAACTGTTGGGGCAACCTACTGCCATCCAAACTCTACAAACACATCCAGGAGCTGCCCTAGGCCTAGCATGGGCTCAACTCCAAGACCTTTGGCCCTATGTTCACTCTGCCTTCAGTCTAAGCACCAGCCAACTGTTTTCCAGAACCCTTGAGCCACTGGGCAGCCCTGCTTCTGAGCCCTGGAACTGGGGCACTGTCAGGGCTGAAACCTGAAACCAGCCTGAGACTCTGGGCCAGGTCTTATCCTCGTCCTACCGGTGGCTACCAGCAAGCCCTGGTCCCCACTCTAAAGGTCAGTGCAGAAGCTGAGCCCAAGCAAAAGACCTTCTAGAGGGAACATCCCTGGAGAAGGCCCCTGGGGCCAGATACAAGGAGAGGCCCCAGGGAAGGAAGGGCTGTGGGGAGGGCTCTGAGGCTAACTCTGGAGGACAGTGCAGATATCAGGCAAGGGAGGCCACCGCTTGCTGCTTGAGTAGCTGTGGAACCTCTTCTTGGACAGCAGTGGTGGCCACACCTTTGCCCTGCTGGACTCAGGTCACCTCCCATAGCGACAGACCTTCAGCCCCACTGCCCTCACCCACCCAGCTCTGGTTCCCTCAGATCAGCTGTCGTTATACATGTGTGGGTGCCCCTGGGTATACGTGTCCGTGTTCTGCTGCATGGTCATTTGTGTGCCTAGTGTGCATTTCTACGCCCTGTGTGCTGTGTGCTCGTGATTGTGTGTGTGTGTGTGCGTGTGCTTGGCGCGACCCCAGGCATGTGTCCAAGTGTCTGTTTAGGCCTCTGGGTGCAGGCCCCTATGTCGTCAAGGGCTTTTGCAGGGCCTACGGCTGGAAGGGGGGCATCCCTAGAAGTCCCTGCGGTGCTGGACAGGGACTGTGGAGGGGGGCGGAGCACTGGCTGGGCCCCGGACTTTGGGTCCTGGTGTCCATGGAGGAGGCCGCAGGGCGGGCCGCCTGCGTCAGCCTTGAGCGGCCATCAATAGCGCGCGGTTAATTAATTTGATGGGAACAGCAGGGACCGCCGTTTGCATTTAGTGAAGTTCCAGGAACTTCCAACCTCATCTTCATAATTGGCCTCATAAATTGTAAGAAAGAGAGAGATCAGCAAAGCGGGAGGGAGGAGGGGCTGCCCGTCCGTCCTTATTTAATTTTATTGCTGAAATTCATCTTTTTAGCCTCCTCCGCCGGAATCGGCTCTCTCCCTGCCGGATTTGCCTAATCATGATAAATTAATATTCATTTCCCCGCCTCTTACCCAGCTCCCGCGCTTGGCTGGAGTTGGGGAGGGTCTCCTCCAGCCCCTCTGTTGGGCCTTGGTGGAAGCTGGGGGTGGGGACCACCGAGGGGAGCTTGTGTGCAGAACTGAGAGTGGCCCCTGGAGGGAGCCAGAGAGAAAGAAGGGGCTCAGTTACTCATGGGGGGGGGAGCCGGGGGCCAGGTGATTGACTGGGGCTCTCAGAGGGCCCAGGATGCAGAGACCAACGACCTCTGCCCAGCTAGGGCTGGGGAGGAGGGGCGGGAAGGGCCTGAGAAGGCCGTTTTGGAGACCCAGAGGCCAAGATCCGGGAGGCCAGACAAGGATGGATTTAGGAGAAGGAACTGGAGTCCAGCTGGAATGGGGAGGTGGGGAAGGGGTTGGTGTGATCTTTGCCCCAACCCACCTCCAACCAGATCCAGGCCACCCTGCCCTGTGCAGACTTCACATGGACCTATCCTCATCTGTGGGGCCTCACAGGCACCCATGGGCTCTGGCTGCAGAAGGGCCTCTCCACTTTCCCATAGCCATTCTGCTGGCTGGTTGGCCGCCTTAGGCTGGGTGCCTTTGCTCTGCTGTCTGACTGTCATAGCTCTGCTGTCCTTAGCAAGGTCCTTTGGAGGTCAGTATGGGAGGGTACCACAGTTCTGCTTTTCCCTGGGCAGTGGGGTCCCAAAGTCCAAAGGGTCAGAATTCCCCATCCTCTTGCATTGCAGTTAGTATGTGAGAGCTGGGAGGGATTTTAGGTGGTATCCAGCCCCTTGTCCTATTTACAGATGAGGAAACTGCAGTCCAGAGACGGGAGGTGGCTGGTCCAAGGTCTCACAGGAGGCTGAGTATGGTAGGCAGGATTCTAAGAATACCCCCAGTGACCCTTGCCCTTATCTCATCTCCTCTCTTTTGAGTGTGGGTGGAACCTTCCACTACAGTGTAACTCTTGTGGGTAAATTACATACATAGCAAAAGGAAATCATCAGGTGGGCCTAGTCTAATCATAAGAACTCTTTAAAAGCAGACAGTTTTTTGTGGCTGCTGGCAGAAGGGGCAGAGAGATTCGAAGCATGAGAAGGACCAGAGAGGTTCCTTGAGGAACAGCCCCCAGCTGAGAGCCAGCAAGGAAACAGGGACCTTGGTCCTACAATCAGAGAAGTCTGCCAAGAGCAAGAATGAGCATGGAAGCAGTGTGCCCCAGAGCCACCAGGTAAGAGCCCAGGCCAGCCAACACCTGATTTCAGCCTTTGGGCCCTAAGCAGAGAACTCAGCTGAATCTGCCTGGACTTCAGATCTTCACAACTATGGGGTAATAAATGGGTGTGGTTTGTGATAACTGGTCATGCAGCAGTAGAAAAGAGATAGCAGGGCCTAGGGGCAGGCTGTCTTAGGAAGCTCCAATGACAGGGCAGGGGATGGAGTTGGGAGAGGTCTGGAATGTGTCCTCGACAAGAGACGTTCCCATGGAACTGGCTCAGATAGAGCCTTCTGGGATGTAGGCACTCCAGGCAGGCTGATAATTTGGTGCCCTTTCAAACCAGAGTCTCCCCACCCCACCCAAACCAGTTTTCAAAAATATTCTACTTACTCAGGGTACCTGGGTAGGTGCTGGTAAAAGATGTTTGTTTTTTTTTTTTTTTGAGACAGAGTCTCGCTTTGTTGCCCAGGCTAGAGTGAGTGCCATGGCGTCAGCCTAGTTCACAGCAACCTCAAACTCCTGGGCTCAAGCAATCCTCCTGCCTCAGCCTCCCGAGTAGCTGGGACTACAAGCATGCGCCACCATGCCCGGCTAATTTTTTCTATATATATTAGTTGGCCAATTAATTTGTTTCTATTTATAGTAGAGACGGGGTCTCGCTCTTGCTCAGGGTGGTTTCGAATTCCTGACCTTGAGCAATCCGCCTGCCTCGGCCTCCCAGAGTGTTAGGATTACAGGCGTGAGCCACCGCGCCCGGCCAATAAAAGATGTTTTGGATTCCCACTGGAGGGCGCCAGCTTCTCTGGAGGTTGGAGAAGACCAGTGGACATTTTGCAAGTTATGAAAGGCCTCCAGAGAGGAGACCCAAGTTAACGGAACCATATTTCTGGTTTATTTCAGCAAAGTTTCAATAGCATATATGCAAGCTTGCATATAGATTATATTATGTAACCTTCCCAACAGCCTCCAGGTAGTTGTATTAGCCTCATTTTACAGATGAGGAGAGTGAGGCCCAGAGAGGTTTATTCACTTATCCTAAGTCACACACACAGCACGTGAGGAACAGAGGTGGGTTTCAACTCAGATCTTTATGATTTGGGAAGCCCAGCTGGTTTCCCTAGCTCCTCTCTAGGAGTGGCCTCTAGCCCAGATCTAACTGAGTTTTCTGTCCTAATCTCGCTCCAAAAGCCTAATATCTCTCCCTCCTTTCCCCACTTATCTGATGCAACGAGCCCTGAGCTTTTCAGTCTTCAGAGGGTCCCTGAAGTTGATGTTGAGGGACACAGTCCCTGGCCCAGAAACCTGGGGTTTTGAATCGGCAGTTGTCCACTTGCTCTGAGATGGGATCCACTGACCTCTCCACCTCCATGCGGCAATTAGTGGTGTGAGGGGCACCACCTCCTATGAACTCCTAAGCTCCAGCCCTGCTGGAGGCGAGGTCCTGTCTCTATAGCTCACATATACCCTCATACATGCCTGACCTGTCCCCCTCATCCCCCATGTGTCTGTACATACCTCTTTTCCTTCATCCCCTCACACGTGTCCCTGCACACACCTGGTGCCTCCCTCAGCCCCCACTCATGGCTGACTTGTCCCCACATGGACTCCACCACAGGGCCTGATGGGGGCCTGGCCTGGCCTGAGATGTCCCCTCTCCCCAGCTCTAGGCTTCTCCGGGGGAATCCTGTCTCATCATCATGACCT